GTGTGTGTGTGTGTGTGTGTGTTTCCAGGACTCGATATGGTAGGATCGCTCGGCCTGAGAGACCCTAGGGAGGGCCAAACTTGGAGCCTAATGACAAAAGAAATGAACAAATTCTGCAATGGGGCAACTGAGATTCTGGTCACTCTGGTTTTCGTGAAAGAGCTGACTGGGTGTGTTTGCGGTGTGAAAGATGCAGCTAAGCCTGCTCGCCACATCTCATCGGGGCATTTGAGAGGATCGTCTGAACGGGCGTTCAGCCCATGTCAAGCTGAAAGTGACAGCCGGTCAACCGTTCAGTTTCTCCAGTCCGTACACCTGCCCCGTCGGCCTTCATGGGTTGAGATGGTCTTAGAATTGGCGCCTACAAATTGGCAAACTTAAGTCCGAATACCTGTTGCCAAAGCGTCCATGGAGCGTTGCGTTTAGCGTATCAGGAAGGCAGGTTTAAGAAGAAAAAGTTCATAAAACTTTCGTTTTTCAAGATGCACAAGTACGAACTCATGCGCTATCTAAAAAGCAAATTTGCAACTAGTACCGAGAAAGAGATTAAAGGTTTTATCAAATTTGGTCCGTTTTAAACCACACAAATGACCGCAATTGGGCTGAACGTATTTTATCGGAAAGTTGATCTTATTAATCCGGTTCAAAATTATCATTAATTTGAAAATGATGCATAGTTTTCACTGATTTTCTTCACTTTGATGGTTTGGAGTTAAGCCAAACTGACCACAATGATAGTTCATCTTTCCTAGTGTATCTGGTAGTCCCAAAATTGCCATAACTCGGCCTGAAAATTAGTAATTTTTCAGATACACGGAGATAAATTTATCGGTAAATAAGGGCTCTTATCATCAATCAACCAAGTAGTATTTTCTCGAAACACCCCTCATCTTTCATATGACAGGAGAGAGTTCAATGGCACAGACAAATTTCAACTTGACTTTCATTTCGAGTGAATTTGTGTGATGAAATAATGCAAAGGTTTGCCTCACCACAAAATGATAAAGAGTCTGAAGTAATTTGGTCTTACTGGGGCATACAGACGTCCTCCTTAATGTAAGTTAATCTCGAGTCTACAGCAAATTAAGATAACTGTCAGGCCAATATTTCCCCAGCATATGGAGCGTCAAAGCAATTAAACAAACTTCAGGTATGGAAAACATGCCGATTTCCCTGCGATATGTATTCATTAATATGTACATCGAAGCGTCTGTGTGCATGTTTATGCATGCAGGAACAGGCATACGAAGCCAAAAAGTGATAGTTTCGAATAATAAGAACAGAGCAGAAATTCTCGCCCACAGTTTTTGGTTAAAGCAGACCCTCAACTATTATTGCGTTAGGCAGGACACTCTTGCAACCGAGTTAATCATCTGTCTTAGACCAAATGTATAAAACCAAAGTTGATATATTAATTGAGTCCCATCTATATATTCTTTATCCTAAAGTCTATCGAACATCGTTATTAGCATAGATTCTCTATTGTTGCGTCAGCATTAACCGCAGGATAGACTAGCTGGTTCGTTGGTTTAACTTGTTGTTGCCGCGAGGTTAACTCAGAATACAGTTTTCCTTTATAAGTAGGCTCATGATATTATGAGTAGAGCATAAATCTGAAGTGTCTTACTTCTTTTCCGGCTTTTGATGAGATCGACCCTCGAATCTTTCCTTTAAGCACTTTTACACGAAATGAAAGTCTACACAAAAATGTAATTGTACATGACAAGCACAAGCGATTACGACCTTCTGCTTGGTAGCTTGAACTGGCAATGAGCCCAACATAAGCAGGGTTCCGTGACTACCAGTAACTCAGTTGTACGAGATGCATTCACCCTATTTCGTTTTAAAATGGTGAAATAATGACAGTTGAATTTTCCCATAATCATATCAGTAGACATGACCTTCCCGATAAGTTTCCCATAGCCTTTTTTCCAGAAAGGTATTTTTCTTAATATTGTACCCTACACTACCTGGTTTCGAGTCCCGCTGAGGCTGATAATGGGACTAGTACAGCCTGGATGAGAATACCTTTTTGGAAGCAAGTGTATGTGAAATTCCAAAGTAGGGCTCACTCATATTATTGTGGAAAAATTCAACCTCAAATCTTTCATCTTATTCAATAAATTAGGCTGAATACATCTTTGTAATGAGATGTATTCACCCTATTCCGTCTAAGGTGATGAAGGACTGGTAGAAGAATTCTCCCACAATGATATGAGTTGAGCTGACCAGTCCTTCATCACCTTAGACGAAATAGGGTGAATACATCTCATTACACTGATTTAGTGGTAGTCTCGAAACCCTACTCATATATGAATACATCTTTGTCTGTATCATTTTGGAGAGACTTTTATTTTGTTTGTAAGTGCACGGAGAATAGATTCGATGGTCGAACTCACCAGAAGACTTCCTCCCTCATTTCAAGTGAAAACTGACTAAGCTTTCGTCCATTATATGATGGAAATTTCGTAACTGAACCTCATAGTTTTACCAGTCTCTCAGTAGATCCATTTAAAGCTCTTCTGTTGTCTTCTGGTGAGATCCACCTGCTCATCTCTCTATAAACTATCCTCGCTTAAAATGAAAGTAAATTGACAACTGATATTCCATGAGATCTATCGAATACTACTTACTCTACATATATTTATTTATTTACTTACTCGCTTTACCTGTGCACACATACAGACATACTTATAAACTCTAAGTGGGTCTGTTAACATGGACTGAACTCCAGAATTGTACCAAAATGACGAGGCAAGGTGGGTCACTCCAACTGGACATTTTGGCCTGAAGAGGATATTGTGCTTCTCTGAAGTGGACCTAGCCTCAATACAAACTTTGCAGAAACGCAGCCTGAAGCTGAGTTTCACGATCGCCAACCTCGTTCTGATGCATTTGTGCTCAATTCTGCCTACCGTTGCCCAGACGAAGGTGTGCTGATACACGAGGATGGATGATACGGGCAATGCAAAGGGTATGACTATCGTCAGCTACACGCAGGCCAGGCTAGAAGTTAGGCGGAATCGGAAAAAGTTTATGTGATTTTTTAGGCCTCCGTCAAACACATGCGTCCCGAGCGTTCTCTCCTTCTGCCCGACGACTGGATCGTGGGTCCGAGGCGACAGAAGAGCATGACACTCGCACACACGATCGCGTCAGAGGCCAAGTTAACTCCCAATTCACTGCAATATTCTCGTGTAGGCAGGAGTGAGCAAATGGCCGATGGGTGTTGCTGTGCATTCGGCCAATCCTGGACTTGGGCAACAGTCGTAAAGGCAGAACCGGAAAAGAATCCCAACTCCACGCGAAATAGAAGAGGAATGTCGTGTTCCGGGCAGAACTGGCTCTCAGGGCCAAGGTGCAAAAGGGAAAAAGAATCGGCCCAAAGGGATGATGATTCTGGGTGACACGGCAAAACGGGAGGTAGGACGAAGTGAGGACTTTGCCAGCAAAAGGTAGTCCTACTTGCCGGAACGTCTGGAGACTCTTGAAAACGGAAGTGCATTCTCCCAAAGTGGACCGGCTAAGCTTTAATCCAAGGGCAAGGTGAACTAAGGAAGCCGTGCTGATGAAAGACTAAACTGGCTGATATTGTGTCCCCTTGACTGTCCAAGCAGAGCGTTTTGGGAGGGAGCAGAAATGCAGGCGAAACAGGAAGACGGACAGTAGATACAGCCTTAAAATGACTATTTTATTGGCCGAGGTCGTATCACCAAGGCGAGCAGAATCGGTCTCGAGTTCACTGTTGGCGTGTTGGTGACTCAAGGCCCGATTCGACGGCTTTGGCGGCCGTAAATTCAGCCGAAAGCATACTCACAAACTGGAACAATTGCACAAAGTGTCGTTGGTATATACCGTTGTCTCCAAGGTAAGCCTCCGCTGTCCCAAAGTAGCAAATTCTGTCC